TTCATGTGCTTATTCATTCAGCAAGATTAACCCAGCCCCTGCTATGCTCATGGTTCTGGAAATTCAGAAATGAGTAGCATAATGTTCCAGCCCTTAGAAGCCAACAAATAAACACGTCGTCATGTTGCATGTAATGTGGATGATTATAGTCTCATACCCAGTGTCTCTGACCCTCAGAAGTTCTGAGTTTAAATTAGGGGACCTGTTGGTGGGGTTTGTCTTAACTTCTTGTATTAGAAAAGTTGTGTTGGAAAGGGCTTTATAGCCAACAGACTTGACTGTAAATCCTGGTTCTGCCATTGACTGTGGGACCCTGGGCAATTTCTAACCCTGGACATCAGTGACCTCATGTTTCCAATTTACTGCTTCTCAGCCCCAAATGCACATCAGCAATGCTCAGTGATGGAATTCTGCTACCGTGCCTCTTAACATAAGCTCGATGTGAAGCATACTCAGCAAAGGGTGCTGGTCGGACACTGCAGGACGAAGGCCATTCCTGTCATTTTCAGTATTGCTGGGAATCAATGGTATGGGTTTGTGGCCATTCAAGAGGTCTGTCCCAGCTATAGAGCCCAGAACATGGTCCATCGGTGACCTTGTTACCTTGGCCTTGTGGTGACCTTCCTGCAGCCCTTCACTCAGAATCGAGAGCTCGGCATGGCCTGCCCACTCTGAAGGCCTCCTATCTGTACCAACATCTAAATTCTCACAAGTTCTCTCTGGAGGACTGAGGCACAGTCCTCCATGGCCCCAAACACCCAGGACTGTTGCTTCCTCTCTTTACCCTATTGCATGTAGCCCATTCACTCTGAAGGCCTTGGCCTCTACCCTGTCAGTGACCTGGAGACTGTCTGCTTTCTGCCTGCCCAAGGAAGGATAGTCTAGTGTTCACCCAGCAATTCCAGACCAGCTGTGGCCTGGAACTTCTCTGCTTTTCAGTGGCCTGCTTGGACCTTCTCCAACTAGGATTGAGCCTCTTCCACATTGTTCTTCCTTGGTGCTGTCCTTCACCAAGAAGTCCCAGAGGGGTTCCCTATGTCTTACAGTTATTCTTTCATTGCAGCTAACTATCCTTTATATTCAACTGCCCTTATTTAACCAGTATGTGGTTTCTGTCTTTTGATTGGACCCTGGTTATGCACCTAAAGAAGAGATGAAAGCATCCGTATTTCAGATTTATGCCACCAATTAAATGAGAAAGCCCTTACAAGGCCCAAAGCACACTTCCCTGCTTGTCAGGGTCTCTCAGATTTTGTTTTGCCTTGATTTGCACAGAGAAAGAGGGAAAGTACTGTCAGTGAATGCCAGGCCCTTGACAGGATGGTGCTGATGTGTCTGTGGTTAGCTCTTAGAAGAGGAGACAGAGGGTCAGAGAGGCCAAAGAGATTGCTTGGGGTCATGCATGCAGTATTGGATGGAATTGAACCCATATGGCCAGTCCTCCAAGTCCACACTCATCATACTAGGCTTCCTTCCAGAGCCCCAAACTCTCCTTCTTTTCATCAGAATGAGTACAATTTTCCTGAATAACAGAACCTCCTGAGGAGAACAGCTGAGCAGCAGAAGAAGCACTTGGAGTCCTTTCAGAGGGACTTAACTAAGAGGGCTCCTCCTAAAGAAAGGTCTGAATTGCTTGAAAGGTGTAGGTCAGTGGTTTCTCTTTCTCTATGAGTCAGCCTCTGCATGAGCTCCAAGGAGCTTGTGCTTGGAACTGAAGCTGGAAGCCTTGGCAGGTATATACTGGGTTGTTAAAGCTCCACTTTGAGAAAACCCCATTGGTTGGTTCAAATTAAATTTATGGAATTTCCCATTATTGGTGGACCAATGATATAGTTTGTGGCTTAAACATATCTTCCAAAAGGCTAGAAGTCTTTGTTATGTTTTTCCTGATGCTTCCCCGGTACTTAGAACACAACTTGGTATTCAGTAGGTTCTCAGTAAGTATTTGCCAAGTGAATGAATTTACACAGTCAAAGATTCCATATATATATATATATATATATATATATATATATATATATATATATATAATCTGTGGGACTTTACTAGCCTATTTGGAAATAGGATTTTATTTTAAAAGCAAGAGAGGAGGAGTGAGTGTACCTTAACAGGAACATGACTATTTTGTAAACCCAGGCTCAATACCATGGCTAAGATGATATATATCAGTGACCAAACTTGCCCTACTCAAAGCCTACTTGTCCTGTGTTTTAGCCTTTCCAGGTGTCCCTCTCTTTCCCACATCAGGCTGTAACTGCGTTGATATGGTAGCAGGCAGTAACGAGTGGGTAACATCCTAGCAAGTGACATGCTGACTTTTAACTTGAGCCCTTTGAAAGAATTTGTCCAGGGCCTGGCAGAGAATTCATACATAGCAGCTACTCCATAAATGTCTATTGGCGCTGATGATATAGTGATGATGGCAAGATCTTAAAATAAAGGATGGACATAGGTAGTGGAGATTCAGGCAGGAGAGGAAGGCTAGAGAGAGCATGGCCATCATGGTTTAGATTAGACAGTGTCCTTGCACATCTCAAATCACAGCCAGGAAGCCACCCACACTTTCTGTGCTTACTATTTCAGTAGAGTTGTTATAGTTCATTATAAAAAATCTGAACCAGAATAGCCAACGAAAAGAACATTCTATACATGTGCTACAGATATAGAGATGAGACCATGTATACCTTTAACTCCTTCATACCCTTTAAAAACTTTGCTTCTTGTTTCCCAGGGATTGTCTTCCTTGTTTTTCCTTTTAATAGGATGAGAAAGAAAAAAAAATCTAGGAAAAGAGAAATTCTTTTTTTTTTTTTTTTTTTTTTTTTTTTTTTTTTTTTTAGCAACATGAGGATGTGGACTAGCCCCTGCATACAGTTGAGTCTCTTTTAAAATAGAGTTGTCCCAAAGTCGGGAATAGATGAGTCCAAGCCTTTCAAATGTTGAGTTTTAATGGGTGAGGTTGGCCAAAGCTGTCTCACCTGGTACAAAGCTAGTTTCCTTCCTCCTTCTTTCAACAAGCACTTGTAGAGCACCTGCTCGGTGCTAACGTGTCACTTCTGCTTCATGCTAACCCTGTGGCAGGCCTTTAATGCAACACAGGATGGGAACATCCTGCAGATGGGCATTTTGCCATATTGTACCCTCAGCACCTGGGATGCTCCCTAGTACACTGGAGCATTAAATAAACACTTGCTGAATCAATGCCACTCATGGAGTTAATAGCCCAAGAAATTATACTAACTTACTTCAGTTAAGCACTTTCAAGCCAATAAAATCTGAGTTAAATGAACCTCAGGGTGGCTTTAAGGAGGAAATGAGAGGTGAATCCCTGCTGGCAATAGCGGCACTAGGGAGTATGGAAGGAGATGTGTCACATTGTTAGCCTGAGTCCCACTGGCTGTGTGTAAAGGCAGTGACGGGTCTCACCTATGTTGGTGGACATACGCCTCAGGACTATAGAGCCACACGGGAACATTGGATGGGAACATTGCAGCTCCACTTTGTCCAATGCCAGAGAGACTTCTCCTTTCCTCTTTGAGCCCAGTCATTAGTTCCTACTCATTTGAACGGGGCTGTTGCAGAGCAGGAGTCCTAGGGCAAAGGAGGGACACTTGCTGAAAATTAGTAGCAATTCCATTCTTCTTAGGTGGGTATAATTTTCATATGCATTGAAATATTCAATCGTTAAATGTTTTAAGAGACAAGAGTTAGTCAAAGAATTTGCTGCTTCTTTGCACAATAGCCAGTATCACAGAATATTCATACAGTACCATGATGGGCCTGGGTGGTGTGGCTCAGTGGTTGAGTGTCACTTATGAACCAAGAGGTCATAGTTGGATTCAGGCACATGCCTAGGTTGTGGGCTCAGTTCTCAGTGTGGGGTGTGCAGGAGGCAGCTGATCAATGATTCTTTTTCTTTCTTTCTTTTTTTTTTCCATTGATTTTTTACAGAGAGGAAGAGAGAGGGATAGAGCGTTAGAAACATCGATGAGAGAGAAACATCAATCAGCTGTCTCCTGCACACCCCCTACTGGGGATGTGCCCACAACCAAGGTTCATACCCTTGACCGGAATCGAACCTGGGACCCTTCAGTCCATAGACCGACGCTCTATCCACTGAGCCAAACCGGTTTCGGCCTGATCAATGATTCTGCTTCATCATTGATGTTTCTATTTCTCTTTCCCTCTCCCTTCCTCTCTGAAATCAATAATAAAAAAAAAATAGCACCATAATGGGTTCCCTCCACACAATGTGAGTAGGTTCACTGATTCATTCTTCTCCCCCCCCCCCCCCCGCCTCTTTCCCTTTTTACCTTCCTCTCTGCCTCTGTCTCTCCACAAAAACCTAAGCAGTCCTAGGTACCCTATTTCTTGGGACTATGGTTTGCCTGCAACAGGGCATCTGTTTAAAAGTGAGGGACACTTTCCAAGATTTTACAACCTTCCTGGGCAGAAATGATTGGCAGTGCTGATGGCCAATCATAATCTTATTACTTCATTAGAGGTGGACTCAAAGGATGGGCCTCTCTGTTCTTTAGTAACATCATTAACCTTCATATCTGGAGACAAAGATTGCTCATTGCTACTTTACAAACACTGCATTTTTCATTTGTTATGCTCATGTGAAATTTATCTTTCTGGAAAGGTACACTCAAGCTCTTAGGACTTACTTGAACACAATAGTTAACATTAAATTTATTTTCATCTTTTTTTTTTATGAGAGAGAGAGAAAAAAAATCATTAACTAATGACTATCAGGAGGCTTTCTGCTTATGATGGGCAATTTGGCTAATGGTCCTCTGTTTAAATTTGCAATTCTCCAGGAAGGCTCTAACAGCTAGAGTGAGTTTGGGGATTAACGATCAGATTTCAATCATCCCTGCTGCTCCTCGTGTCCATAATTACAGTCCTCAAGAACTAACACTCTTGTGACTGTAGTTATACCCTATTGTGGGCTCTCCCAGAAACAATTCCATTAATATCACTTTTCATCTTCCTAGGTGCAAACTCAGGAACCAGTCAGGGAGAGAGTCTCTCTCAGCCCAAAGCCAGCTTTCTCAGAGCCTGCTGGGGAGGAGTCTGCATTTACTGGGACCACAACAAATGCCTTCCCCAACTTAGGAGCGGCTGATGAGGAAAATGCATCATCAACCCAATACCTGGAGATAGAAAGCTGTACTCAAGGCCCACAGCGTGAAGAAAAGCAAGTCAGAGAAGACAACTCACCTGGACATTCCTGGGAAGACCCAGGACATGAGTTGAATTTCCTAGACGCCAATCATACAACTATGTCCCCCTGTGAGCTGTCAGTGCATCTCCCTCAAGAGGGCAGTGATGGCCCCAGGGAGCCCGAGGCTCTTTCTGTTGCTTCCCCTGCATCTGAAGATATTGCCCCCACTCTGGGAGCTGTGTGCCATGGGCCAGGGGGCAGAGAAGCAGAGTGTTTGATTGAGTATCTTGAAGCAGGCCACCAAGGAACAGGTGACACCATGGATGCCTCAGCTGGAGCCCCAGTTCATAAATATTCACCTCAAGAAATTTGCTCCATGGACTTAGAGCTGGTAGAGGGTCAAAACCAACTACCTGATTTATGTGTTCCTGATGACAAGACACTGGATGTTGTTCTTCAGACACAAGGTTCTGAGCCTCCACAGTCCACAGACAAAAGTAACAAGGGTAGAGACTCAGTCGTGCTTCCTGTACCTAGCGATGCCCTTGCCTGGGACATCTCACAAAAAGTCAGTGAAGGATCCATAGGGGAACATCTAGCCAAGGTGGAGCATTCTACTTCCACGCCGGCCTCCACAGGACAGGAGAGGCTGAGCCCCAGCATCTTGGGAGGGCTTGAGGAGAGACAGCCTCTATCTTCTGAGAATTCTTTGGTGCGGTGCACCGAAGGTGATGAGAGCTCCAGCACCAGTGCCTCGGACGCCACAGACACACCAGTCCATCACAGCTCAATTGTGATGTTTCCTCAGGAGAAGCCAACTGCATTAACTGCTACTCCTGAGTGTCTTCAGGTGACCAGGGAGAATGAGAACACACCAGTTGGTACCATTGCCACCAAAGTTCCCTCAGCCAAATACCTCCCTGTTTCCATTGCTGACAACAGCCATGCAGATGGCCCTGAGGAGTGCTCAGTTCAGGTACCAGATGGCAATATTTTTCAACTGCCTTCCAGTGTACAGCAGGGCCATGTTTTAAATGACTCCGTCACTGAGTCTCCCAAAGAACTTTGTATGGCTCCCAGTGGACCAGGGGTCCTTGTCTGTGCTCCCCTGCCCCCTGAAGGGGATTCCTGCAATACTTACCCTCTTCAGATTGGTAACCAGGCTGGAGATAAGAGCCAGACCGTGGGCAGACCAGACCAGAGGAGCCTTGGAGAGAATTTCCAAGAAAAGGGAAGTGAAACAACACAGAATATTCAGCTGGAGAGCCTGACCCACCAGGGTTCCTTTTCTGAAGATAATTTCCAGGAAAGTTGGCCTATGACATCTGCTGCACAAGGGGAAACAGACCTGCTGCCCTTGGACCAGTCATCAGCAAACTCCACGGAGGAAAGAAGGCAGAGCTCAGGCCTGGGGCCTAGTGTGTCTGTGGTGGCCAAAGCAGCTGTGGAAGATGAGAGTCAGGCTATTAGTGCACTACCTCTCTCTGAGAGCTGCCTGGAGGGGTCTAAAGAGAGTGGACCAGCACATTGGGAAGTGGGCAATAAGCCCAAGACTATGACTCCAGAGGCTTCTGTCTCCGAGGTCTGGCCACTAAGACAATTGACAGCTTCTGAGTGCGAGGAGTCAGAAGCTGGTGATAAGACACCTGCTGAGGTCTGGGCTGTGGGTGCCATGCTAAAGGCAGGTGCTGCTGGGCCTGAACTGGACCCCTCTGAACCCACAGGATCGGCTGCCGGTCCCCAGGCTGAGGCTGGCTCAGCCCTTGCTAAGGACAGAGAGATCTACATAGGCAGAAAACCAGCCAGGCGTACACACTGGAGCTGTCTTTCTTCCCAGTACTTGCGCCAACCCCGGTTCCTGGAGTCATCTGTGGACCCTGTAAATGACGGTGTCACAGACTGGCCATCAGAGACTTCCAAAACGGGACGGCAGGAAACTGTTAGCGATGTGAGTCAAAGTCAGGAGGAAAACCAACTCGGTGTGGACCACCCTGCCTTCTTTACACAGTTTCTGCCCCGCCCTGAAATCCTCGAGTCCTCAGTAGATCCCGTTGATGAGCTGAGTGTGGTGGAGTGGGCCAGGTTGGAAATCCAGGAGCTGTCTGACTCCACACTAGGGGTTGTCAGAGAGGAGAGTCAATTGGATGCTGGAAGCTTGGGCCAGAGAGTAGAAGTTCAACCCATCATCTCTCCAGTCTCATGCCCCGAGCAAAGTGGGGAAACCATTCCAAGCGAAAACAGCGCCAATAGAAGCCAAGAAGCCAGTGAGAGAGGGGAGGCTGAACACAGTCAGCGTGACAAAGCCAAAGGCCAACTCCAGCCTGCTGTTTTGCAAGGCCTGAGTCTTGATGAAGGTGGGGTGACAGTTCCAGGGGGACACAGCGGAAGCCAGGCACAAGAAGGCCTAGAGAGGAGCACCGGGGAGTCAGAGCAAAGTAAAAAGGACGAGGCAGGTGCTGCTTCCCCCACGTCCCCTCCCAGTGCTCTCGCAGTCCTGACACAGGCTTCTGTTGGAGCTGACACAGACAATGCCAAAGGTCAAATTCACAATGTCCCTGAGAACCATTTAGTAGAGCCCAGAAACCATCAACATGCATTTTCTGACTCGAAAGAGAAAGGAGAGAGAGTGTGTGAGTGTGGGAAACATTTGCCCTCTCCCGGTGGTCTTACTCAGCTGCCTCTTACTTCATCCCCTGAAGGAAACATCACAGCCCTTCCAATAAGCCACAGAATTGAGGAACCTAAAATAGAGGCGCCCCAAAGTGGGGAAGCCAAACCCACAAGGGCAGCCAGCTCATCAGCAGTGACTTTGACCTTGGTTTCAGAAGAACATGCGTCAGAGACAGCTCCTCAGACACTGCAGGACCCATGGCACCTGGGCCCCACCCCGGGCCGTGGGAGAAAGTCAGGGGAGAGGAGGCCCCGTCACATGGCAGCCCAGATGGGAAGGTCCCCAGGACCTGCTTGGGAGGAAGCCAAGAAGAAGCAAGAAGTCACAGGAAGTGGACATTTAACTGAGGGAGTGAAGAGGAAAATTCTGTCCAAGGTGGCTGCCCTGAGGCTGAGATTGGAAGAAAGAGAAAACACCAGAAAGAATGGGAGCTTTCCTAAAAAGATTCCTAAACTCGACACATCGGTATCACGCACGGATGAGAACAAAGACCCAAAAAAGCCAGCTTGCAAAAGGGAAGGGAAAGGTGAGGCTCCGTTGCTCTCTATCCCTGTTAAAGTTTGGGATTGTTGGCCCGATGTCAGATTCCTGGGTCCTCCTGAGTCCTCAGAGTTCAGGTGAGTTTCTACCAGGGGCCATTGTCCCCATGGCTGTGACCAAATGGCTCCGCCTATAGACCCAGGCTCTCAACCGTGAGTGACCGCAGAATGACCTGCAGGGCTTGTTAAATACGGTGCTGGGCTCCATGCATGGGCTCAAGAAATTGCATTTCTAATAGGTTCCTGGGGATCTGTGGGGAGAGCCTTGCCTATAGGTGGATGTAGGTATGTTTAATGGAGGGAGTGCGATGAGTATGCTCTTTTGTTTAATTACCCGTTAAAACGTATTTGTAAAAGATAAGCAGACGCATGAATCAGTAGAGCTAATTAGTATAATTAAATAGACCACATGCTAAGCAGGATTTCCAGAAATAAACATATGGGTACAATTTGGGAGTCTCTTCTTTCATAATTGATTTTCTTTTAACATGGCTTCATTGAACACTGGGTTTCCTTCCAAATTCGAGTCTAAAAATTTCTTTCCAACTCACTCTTCGCTTTCTGAGTCTAAAGGCCCAGGGCTATGTGTTCCAGGTTTCAGACCCCCCGGAGGCTCAGAGCCCCTTAACTGCTGTGACCTCTGCATGGCCCGGGGAATCACTTTAACCCCACACTTCACCCTATAGCCCGACTTTTAGCCTCTTTTACATCAGAACTCTTCTTTCCTTTGCTGTGCAACCTGACAGAAGTCAGAAGAGGAGATATTGCAGCAGGCGAGGTCCTCTGTGGACTAAAGCAGAACCTTGTGGCCCCCTCAGCTCAGGGGAGAGGTTCCTGAGTCCTCAGGTTTCTAGGCGGAGCTTGTCATTCTCCACCCACATCCATGGGCCCTCGGCCCTGTTTCAGAGAGAATTAAATATAAAACTACCTTCTGAAGAGTCTGGAGGGTTGCTAGTATATGTGTTTTTAGGCACATTTTAAGAGAATGAAGCAATGTTTTCAAAGATCTCTAAAGTGATTTACCCCAGACGGAAACTATCTATTTGGAATGCTTGTCCATGGTTAAGTTACCCACAGGGAAAAGAACATTCTAGTAACCAAATGCTGTTGGGATTTTGATCTCTCTCAGCTGCCACTAGCCTCCCCGAGCTCAAAAAGCTGCAAAGATGGGGTACAGCATTTGGGGAGGGGTGGTCCTCTCCCTCCGTGACCTAGTGAAGCAGACTTGGGGTGAAGGTGGGGGGAATGACTCGGATGATTCTGAAAGAAATTAAACAGACTGAGTAACCTTTTTACTTTGAACAACTACTCTCCCAGGCCTCCTCTCAGCTGCTTCTACACAGACAGGGCTCCTTTCCACGCCTCGAGGCCTCTTGTCCAAGCCAGCTTTGCATTTCTCAAAGACCCTCATGTAACCCCACTGCTCATTTTATGCCCTTTTCTCTGTCCTCCAATTTTTTCTGCATTCAGAATTTACAACAGGTTGTGGAGGGATTGGCAACTTAGGAACCTCTAGGTCTCCACAGATCACCGTGAAAACTGCCATGGTGTTGGAAGGGCCCTTGAGGAAATGAGTCCCCGATGAGGTGGACTTGATCAGGACTCTGGACCAAGAGTTTGAGGCTGTGTGCCTGAACACCCAGCGCAGCCTGTAAATATGAAACAGCTTGCAACTATGCCCCCCTGTATTTATTATCCAAGGGTCTGTTGGCATGAAGGAGAGATGGGAGGCACCCATCTACTATTTCACAGCAGTAGAATTTATGGTAATAGAGCAAACAGCAACAGTATTGATGACTTTCATCTTAGCTGTGGATTATATATATATTTTTATTACAAAGCTGCGCAGTTATGGAATATGGTCTCCAATCAACAGACACCACATTTCCAGCAACCCCACTGCTTGCCAAATGATTGGCACAACCTGGCTGGGTCTTCTATATTTGTCTTCTTGGTTATGCTGCTTCCTAGTGGCTGCCCTGAATAATTACACATTTGCCCGGCTTGTGGAGATCTCATTCCCGCTTTAAAAAGACAATATTCCAGGGTCTCCTCTCAACTCTGGGAATCATTTCCTTATTGCTCCTATTTCGTTCACATCAGACATACAGCTATCTTCAGCAAAGGCAACAGTAATTAGAGGAAAGATGAATGTGTTACTTTTCAGTAAATAGCTATTGTTGAGTTGTCTTTTCCATCTGAGGACTTAACCACAATTATTGGGATGATTCAAATTTTATTTTACTCCTTAGTCCCAAGTTCTGATTTTAACGTGGACCATCTGGTAAGCATCTTTATTTGAACCAGGTACTATAGACTAGGTATCTGAATTCCTCCTCCTCCCTCCTCCTGACCTCCCTCTACCCCCACCTCCTCACACTCCATTACCCATCTTTGGGGGGGGGGGAAATGCCTCTCAAGTTATATTTCACATCTGTGGATTACAGACCTGACTCAAGGACCATTAAATAGTGAAAAGTAATTAGACTGATTTATTCATTTCTTAGTGGTTAGACAAGCCACATGTCCTCTCTGACACTTTTCTCATCCATAAAATGAGGGTCATACTTATGATCTTTGTCTCTGGAGATTGTTGTGAGAATTAAGTGAGATGAGATGAGAAAGTCTTTTGCCCACTTTGCAACTGTTATAAGAATGCTGACCTGCTGATCTCTCATTCTAGCTCCAGTATTACTGAAAAAAATCCAAGCTGAGATGTTTCCTGACCACTCTGGAAATGTAAGATTAAGCTGCCAGTTTGCAGAAATTCACGAAGATTCTACCATCTGGTGGACAAAAGATTCAATTTCAATTGCCCAAGTGCAGAGAAGGTGCGGTATTTGCTCCTGGATACTTTCCATAATTGTTGCTTATATCACAACATAGTTCTAAAATACAATAATAATATAATAAAATAATACAGTATAAGAAGTAAAAGGGGAACTTGAAGTAGAAATTCCACATCCAAAGTGTCCAAGAAATGTAAGTAATGGAAGACAGGTGTCTGGACAGGGTGGTGGGTTCTTGCCCTGGCTCTACCACCATTGAGTTCCATGGCCTTTCATTACGTTTAAAAATGTAATTAAAATTTTTTAATTAAAATTTTAAATTCTAGTTTTTAGAATCATTACATTTAGGAAACCACGACAAATTATCTCCTAGTCTAAGGCTCTGTGATCCCAGGATTTAAGAGCAGTCTTCTGTATGTCTGTGAAGTCTGCTGTTTTCTGTTTCACAAATTCCCATTAACCTGACAAAGGTCAAACAGTGAAGAAGGTGAAGCAAACGGAAAAGACAGTCCATGCAGTTGCAGAAAAGTAGCTGCTTTTGAGGGGTCTTTGCTGTTTATAAATGACTCATGGATGAGAGCTCTTTCAAATAGTGTACTCCCCTAGTGAATACCTTTCATCCCTCCATCCATCCATCCATCCATCTATCCAACTGCCTATCCTCCAGCCAACATTAGACTGTTCTGAAAATTACATGAAATAGACCTTTAAGTGATTAGCACAATACCTGGTACATACCAAGAACTCCATACACATTAGCTATTATCTTTCTCCTCACCATCTTCATGAGTTTTTCTTCTCCCTTATTGTATTGGGGTTTATATTTGAATTTAAAGTTTCCAGGTTTCCTTCAAGCACAAGTCATATGGATTAGTAATGGAACTGAGGTGAATTCTGATCTGAAGTTCAGATGAGCTCCCAGAATTCAGAATTCTTGTTCTTTGCTTTATTAATAACAGTCCACCCTCCCAAATGTTGCTGTGCATTAATATTGCATAGGGGAGTGAGAGTGTTAAAGCAAAGTTGTACTGATCATCCCCTACAGGTGAATTAATGATTTAAATGGCATATCACGGTCTTGTCCTTTAGCCAGCTTGTAGGCTGAAAACATTAGGCCTGAGGAACATTAGTGTATCAGAAAATGCAATCTCAGAGTGATGACAGGTGCCAATGTTAATGTGTCCCACTTCAGTGCAGGAGACAACTCCATTGTGTCCTTGACCATCATCCAAGCCAGTCAGAAGGACCAGGGCCTCTATCACTGCTGCATCAAGAACAGTTATGGAAAAGTGACAGCTGAATTTAACCTCACCACTGAAGGTAAACCTCAGCTTTTCAAGTTCAAATAAATGAGAACCGCTAGCGTCTACCAGTTAAGAGTGTTCATTTGTACTGAAGGCATTCTGTACTGTCTCTTCTTCCAGTTCTCAAACAACTGTCCAGACACCAGGACATTAAAGGTAAGCTGATCTGACTGGGATGTCAGGGAAGTGGGCTACTTCATGCTTCTGGCGTCAATGGTAGAGGCAATATTCCCATGGACCCTTCTAACCAAACAAGAGAGATCTCAGGAATGATTGAGAAATGAATGAAAATCCATAAGCCATTTCAACCTGACTGTTGGGCCAATTATAAGTTCTCTGCATTATGAATATCCAGAAGTATATCATTTATGACAAGAGATCAGATTGTAGGAGGTGGTTGCTGGGAACATGTGGAGGGGAGTTTGGGATTAGACTTTTCTCTTTAAGCATCAGACTAGCATTCAGCCATCTGTATGGGGTTGTTCAGCCTCTGGCACTAGGTTTTGTTTCTTTAATGTTCTTTCCACTTTGACTAGCTGAGCAGATTCCCAGAGAGAGCCAGGTAGGTGTCTAGGAGAAAATTCCAGTCACTGCATCACAATGAAAATAAAAGCTGGGTGGTTGGGCTGTCCATCGGCACTTGAGCACAGCTGGTGTAGCCACCACCCAGCAGCTATCCTGAACACTCACATTGCCCCTGGGCTACCCACTGAATACAATTTGGTGGAGTCCATGCTTGTAATTTTCTCTAATTCCTTTAAGGGAAAATTACCCATTCCCACACACGTGCCTATCCCCACCCAGTAGTGTGCTGGTAATTGTTAATAACAACATGGGGGACCTACAATATATAGTTTTCCAATTTCTGTGGTGTAAATACTCTCACCACGGCCAATTTTAAACTGACAGTGTGACATCACGAGAATGTGGAGCCCACAGTCAGCTCCCGGGGGCTGGAGGGAGCAGGTTAAGCACACTCCTCAGGTCCCCTCACCACATGTTACCATGGCTCTTGGCAGAGTGTAGGACTCTTGGTTATGCCTTGGAGAAATAGGAATGAAACTTTCATCATTAAATTGATTTTGCATCTTAAAGATTTTCCTCATGTGCTGATTTGTAAAGCAAATACTTGAAATCTTCGTGAAAACAAGACAGTAAAGGCAATTAAGATACAGTAACATTCAGTACATGAAAGGCAAAGATGTGGGACCTCAACTTCAAAATGCTTTAGCAAATATTGTGGTATTTATCCAAATCAGCAAACTTAGATACAAACTCTTCAAAAACCCACTCAAATGCTAACTACCTGTCTTTACTATGTACTGCACTTGTGGTATAATTTTGAATTCTTCCCCTGCTTCCACTCCTATCTCTCCATGAGTCAAAATTCACAAGAGAATGCCCTTCCTTCTGACCTTTTGGAAACAGCATGACCTTTAGAAGAAAGCTTTTTCATCAGCTTCTTAACATTGGTTGGCTGTTACACGCCAGATACTTGCTATGATCTCAATATTTTAGGTTCGTTTCTCTAGATCTGTACCAGCCAGGAATAGACCCCAGTGGGGATGAGCTGCTGGCCACCTGGTGGAAATAGCATACCTGTTGTAGCCCTTAGATTCCAACCACAGGTTTTGGTCAAGACATCACCTTCACCTACTTCTCCTGAGACTGGCAGTTCCAGTTTCAGTGACTCACTGGGCTGTGAGCCACACTTGTCCTCTCCCTCCCCTGGCACTTTCTGATGAAGGCACTTCAAATAATTGTCACTTTTTTTATTTGGAGGGATCTCTCTCACTAAACATCCACTAATTAAATTCTCTAGAGGAAGAACAAATAACATTTTGCAAGTTTATTAATTAATGTATTACTCTAATTAATAAACTAATAAAACTAAGCTGGGATGCCCTGGCTTGTGTAGCTCAACTGGATGGAGCGTCGTCTTGTACGCCACATAGGGACAATAACAAGTGTGACCAATAGAACGTAGAAGGGAAACCACACTTACCTCCAACCGAGGCAGAGCTCAAAGCTAAGATGGGGAGATGGGCATTGAGGAGGATGACTAAATTGGAGCTACGTTTTAGGATGTGAAGAGATCGAGTTCAGCCAACTTATCTTCAGAGAAGACTTCCTCCGGGACAGTTACTTTGGGGACCACCTGCGAGGTCAGATCGCCACAGAGGAGCTGCACTTCGGAGAAGGTGTCCACCGCAAAGCCTTCCGCAGCAAAGTGATGCAGGGCCTCATGCCCATCTTCCAGCCCGGCCACGCCTGCGTGCTCAAGGTGCACAATGCCGTTGCCTATGGGACCAGAAACAACGACGAGCTTGTCCAGAGGAACTACAACCTCGCGGCCCAGGTGGGTCCACCTGCCCTAACGGTGTCACTTAGGTGTGAGAGGGAACCCTAATAATCAGACTCAGAATTGGTGGGGGTCTCCAAGAGGGTGTTTTGCTCCCTTGGGGTGTGGTGTAAGGGATCCGCTGGATTGAGGCTGATTGCTGGAATCATGGCCCAGTTCCCAGGAGTATTTCTTGGCCTTGTGCCACATGGGACTCAGCCTATGTTTGGAGGCACCTCCCCAATTCTGACCTGGACGGAGGGCATTTCCTGGGAACCCCAGGAGATCCCTGAGGACTTGAATCTACTTGGACACAAGATAATATGGAAATGGGGGCCCTCTGCTATACTGGACACCAGGATCCCCAAAGACTGATGAAATCAAGTTGTTCCTGAATGTTTTGTTTTAGATGGAGGTGGGATATATTTAGAAGGATAGGGCAGAATCAGTTGTCTTATTACTTGCCTTCCTGAGTTGGTTTAATGTCAGCCCATAAGCTATAAAGGGAGAGCAACTTGAGTCTCTAGCTAAGTCCCCTCCTCTCTGTGCTCATGAGTCACAGAGCTCCTGTTAGTTTCTCTCCCTGCCTCCCCCTCCCACTTTGGTCCATGTATTTCATTCTTGACACTAGCATTGGCCAAGCTTTTGGTAGTGTTGGGTCTAGCACTTCTACAAACTAGGTGCCCTTTAAAAAGTGTTATCTTCAAATGATTAGTTTAGACTTGGATCAATGTTTTGGGTGCTGTCAAGCATTATCCATCCACGATTCTCTGAGATGTGGCTCTGTCATGTGCGACTTGGTGCTCATGAAGGGAAGCCCCTCTTCTGTATTTAATTCTCCTCCAAACCCACCCTTCTTTTTTCTTTTCTTTCACTGAGCCTTCCTTCCAACTTAACGATCATCTCACCAGTCATGGAAAATGCCCCAGCACCCAGGCTCCCACTTAGAAATGCCTTACGGAGTGGAAAGCAGAACCCAATATGCTTTTCCTATGCCAACAATCTTGTCAAGGTGTTCACTTTTTACAACTCCAATTATAGCTTTGAAGAAGAATCTCAGATGGGGGAGCTTGTGGGAAACCAACCAGCAAGGCCCAAGGTTTATCTGACATCTTAGTTCAAGGATGAACTTCAGCCATGCAGTTTATAAATTTTATAAATCATGGACACATGGCCCCAGAGACCACTTGAGCTTCACCTGGATCATTCCTTCAGGTCTCAGAGCTCCTCTGCCAGCTCTAGGCTGCAATCATTGTGCCCCAACCAGGGGATGGGTTTGGGAATCCATTGGCTTTACAACATTAGGAAATTTGATTAGCTTTACCAAGCAACTCTCTGAATTTCCTCTAATTGCTTGGGTTTTCCATTGGGTGATATAGGAATGCTATGTCCAAAATACTGCCAGACATTACGCCAAGATCTATGCTGCTGAAGCACAGCCTCTGGAAGGCTTTGGAGAAGTGCCAGAGTAAGTGTTTCCTCTCTTGAATTTCCATCTCTGACTTGGGGGTTTGGGGGGGAACCTGAAGGGACAAGAGGATTAGAAAGACCAGGAGGACAAGCATTTCAATTGGTCACTATCTGTAAGCTGTGAGGGCACCCATGGCTGTGATCCTGTTCTTCATTGGGTCACCAGAGGCTTCCAGAAAGATACTTGATAAATATTATTTAAATAAATGTATGTGTGAATGGGTGGATGGAGAGAGGAATGAATTCAATACATGTATTTATCATGTTAAGTAGAAAAGAAAGGATATGTACTCTCATGAATATTGCATTGTCTAAACAATAAACAAATATAAGGGACCATAAGACTATTACAAAATGACTAGTCCCATGAAGAAAATAAAATATGGTGCTGTGTCCAGAAAGAGTGAATTAGGTGATCAAGATTATAGGAACACTAGAGACCTGGTGCTCGAATTTGTGCACAGGTGGAGCCATCAGGCTGGGCTGGTGGGAAGGAGGGGCTGTGAGCAGTTGTCCAGCTGGTTCCATCCCCAATTGGGGGCCAATCAGGGCCCAGATCAGGCTGATTGGCTGCCACAGAGTGCGCCATAGCCACTGGTCATTCTGGTTGTTCTGCCGTTCTGGTTACTGGGCTTTTATATATACAGATAATGCCCACTTCCTGGAATCCTACAGAGATAAATTGAACTGATTTCTTTTATTCACTCACTGACCCAAGCAAATTTTGGTATCCACTGCTCTGAAGATGGATTAGGATGTTCACTATCCAAGCCCCCTTTCCTTCCTTTCCGTGGGAGAATTTGTGAACATGTAAATGGTGATAGTATATGGCAAAGTCCCTACAAAGGAAAGTGGTGATGGTTGTTTAGGATGGGGAAACGAAAACATGTTTTTGGCTTTGGGGCAGAGAGAGTAAAGCAAGACTAAGAAGATATTAACTAACAAACAGGAGATAAAACTTGAGACCAGGGATTGGCAAACTTTTCCTGTAAAGGGCCAGATAGGCTTTAGGTAGATACTTATGTAACAAATCCATGAGTTTTAAAATATAATAACAATTAATATAATTTTTGATATATAAAGGTTTACTGCTGAGAAGAATGGAATTCTTTTTTTTTTTTTTCCTTTTTTTGTAAAATCTTGCTTAACTGGGGGATTAGTCTAAATTTAGTGGAACCCAGGCATTTATTCTGTGTGCCCATGTTCTCACCCTTTCCAGGATCATTCCTATTTTTCTCATCCATCGGCCTGAGAACAACATCCCATATGCAACAGTGGAGGAGGAGCTGATTGGAGAATTTGTGAAGTATTCCATCAGGGATGGGAAGGAAATCAACTTCTCGAGAAGAGAATCGGAGGCGGGCCAGAAGTGTTGCACCTTCCAGCACTGGGTGTATCAGAAGACAAGCGGTGGCCTCCTGGTCACGGACATGCAGGGTGAGGAAGCAGCATGATCCGGTCTGGGGATTTGGGGGGCCTGGATGCCCTTGGGGATGGGGAGGGAAGGAGAAGGAGAAAGCCCCTGAAGCAGCAGAAGGTGTTACCAATGTCTCATCAGTCACAAGGTGGGACAGAGGAGCCTGCAATGACCAGCCAAATGGAGTCAGACAGTAAGTTTTAATAATTCATGCCAACAATGCCTTCCCATTACAAAAGGCAACCAAGGATTGGCTTTATTGTTCTAACCTTAGCAGGCACAGATTCAGAAGTATAGGTGAAAATCCGGATGTGCCAAAAGTTAAATTAAGATGTAACCATTCGTTCTTATTAGGTGAAAGGGTCTTGCATAGTTACTTTAGATTTCAAGCTCCCCTGATGAAGTTGCAGCATATTTTCCATTTCTACACACATTTTTAGGAATGCATTTGTGGTATGAAGTGGGGATGTCATAATTCATCTTTCCACATAAGCAGCCCTGAGACTAGTTGCAGTTTGGGGGTCCCCAAGACCATCGTCAGGTTCATTAATTTGCTGAAGGACCCACATACTCATGGTTATGGTTATATACAGCCAAAGGATGCAGACTCGGATCAGCAAGGAAAGAGATGCATGGAGCAGAGCCCAGGGCGAGCAGGCAGCAGCTCCCCGCTGTCCTCTCCTAGCGGAGCCCTATGCCGGTGCTCACTCTCCAGCCATGGTGCGTGGCAACACATATGAGAGCTTCCAACCAGGGATGCTCACATGGGCCTGGGAGTTCAGAGGTCTTTTTGGGGGTCCATCGAGTAGGCATGACTGACTGTCCATGAAATTGACCTCAGTATCTAGCCTCTCCAAAGGTCAAGCTGATACCACATGGCCCAATGTATAAGGCAGGACATTCCAAGGGCTTAGAATTTATCCCATAGGAGTTGGATGAGGATTGAACATTTGCTACAATTATTTGGGAGGGGATCCTGGTATACACTGGCAGGAAAGAGAAGTGTGACAGGGAAAGGGAGGGCAAGCAGTTACCACAGTGATTGCTGGAGAACTCTGGGAGCCTGTGCAGAACACACATGTCAGAATCTCATCACACCCAGGGAGTGATCCCCTGTAGGTACCAGCAGAAGGCTGCACCCACACATGGGCAAGCCAAGCTGAGCAAATCAGGGTACTGTGATAAGAGAAAGTTCTCAGGCAAAGCAATGCTGGTGGGTCGTGCATGGAAGTGGTTAGCATAAGGGCAGTGCGTGGGGCACGGACAGCCCTGCCACAGGGGTTTCCTATTCCTTTCTTGCTTTCCAAATAATCATGCTCAGAAAAAATCTGAATTCTAATCACATGCCTACTAATGTCAGATATGGTTCTATACAAGGGTTCTGAGATCTAGCACTGGCGTGGTGGGAAAGCAAGGCTGCCTTGGGTCCCTCCCCTACTCTTCCATTTGCTAGCTGTTAGCCTTGGCCCAATTGCTCCCCTCCCTGTGCCTCAGTACTCTTCACATGGGGCTGCGGTGAAGATTAAATGAGAGCAAGATATTTAGTGAAGCAAGTGTTTCCTTCTTTTTAATTTTTTAAAAAATAACCATAGACACAAGAAATTGCAAAAATATCCAGAGGAGGCCCCATGCATCCTTCACCCAGCTTCGCCCAGTACTAACATCGTACATGACTGTGGTGCATTATCGAAACCAGGAGACTGACATTGGCACAATCTGATTAGTAGACTACAGAGCTTCCTTGGATGTCAATAGTTTCTGTATGCACTCATTCTCTCCTATTACTTTTGTTTAATCTTTGAAATAATTCTGCAAAGAAGATATTGTGGTCCCCATTTTACAGATGATAACACAGAGGCCCAGAGGCAGTGATTTAATTGCCTGCTGTCACTCAGCTAATAACCAGAGGGGCCCAAGACCTGAACTCATAATTTCTGACTCCAAACCCCAAGCGCTTTGCACTAACTCACAAATTTGCAAATTGGCAAGAGATTTCCAAGTGTCAGAGGCTCCCCAGAGAGACTCCTCAAAGGCCAGCTGGGAAGGACAATGTTGCTGCCTTGCAGCTGGGGCTGGTCTGCAAATTGAAGGCAGCCATGCCCGCTGCCTGTGAGAGACTCCCCAGCCACACACGCACAGATGGGGTCTCCGCAGACAGCCATCTATCCTAATTAGACGCCCATGTGCCATCATTGATGCACCCCGTCTCTTCTCCTTCAGAGTTCATTTTGCAGTAGATACAGTTCTTCTACTGAAAAGCAACCCCCTGGAGCCTCATGCATAGCTTGTTTGTTTCCAGGCGCCAGCAAACAGCCTCAGTGGAGATTGCTCTCCTGGCAAATGAGGTGTGTGGTTTAATGTGGTGTTTCACAAGGCATTTATTTACCCTCTGCTGCTGCTGGGAACAGTATTTTATTTTATTTTATTTTATTTTATTTTATTTTATTTTATTTTATTTTATTTTATTGCTTCATCTTTATGCCACAAGATAGCACATCCATTCTCTAAACAATGTCCATCTTTTATAAATGTACCGAGACACTGGAATTAGCACAAAACAAATCCAAACTCAACCATTACCTTCTGAGACTCTTAAAAGCCAAGCCCTCTCAGTTTGCATTCGCTTGCTGATGAGACTGAGGCGTGAACATGGTGCCTGGGACCTGGCCCCAGGATCTGCACCCTGGAGGCTTTAGGGCCCCTAAGAAACTGCCACCCCAAAGGCCCAAGAACTCAATTTCTGGAGGACAAACTCATATTGCTGCTTACTCCTTTCCTTCCATCAGAGACAAACGGAAGATGACTATTATCCCCAACAGAGTTTTATCGCTGCACACTAAATTATCCTGCAGAGTCTTTCATAACCTCAATTGAATTGCTGGCAAAATATTAAAACAAGAGAGAGAGAAAGAGAGAGAGATTTCCAAAATCATATTACACTTCTCTAAACTCTAAGTGACAATAACTGTGAGAAGCAAGAAAAGGCAGTTCTCAAGTTCAAGGACTTTCTGCCAAATGACTTTAAATTTTTAAAATTTGTTTATTGAATTTTAGAAAGAAAGAGGGGGGGGGAGAGAGAGAGAGAGGGAGAGAGAGAGAGAGAGAGAGAGAGAGAGAGAGAGAGAGAGAGAGAAAGAGAGAGAGAGATGTTAATTTGTTGTTTCATTTCTTTTTTTTTTAATATATTTTTTTGATTTTGTACAGAGAGGAAGGGAGAGAGATAGAGAGTTAGAAACATCGATGAGAGAGAGTCATTGATTAGCTGCCTCTTGCACACCCCCTACTGGGGATATGCCCGCAACCAAGGTACATGCCCTTGACCGGAATCGAACTCGGATCCCTTCAGTCCCCAAGCCGACACTCTATCCATTGAGCCAAACCGGTCTCGGCGTGTTGGTCCATTTCTTTATGCTCTCATTGGTTGTTTCTTGTATGTGCCCTGACCAGGGATTGAACCTGCAACCTTGGCATATTAGGACAATGCGGCAGTCAACTGAGCTACCTGACCAGGGCCTCATAGCTTTTAAAATTGTACTTCTGTGAACTCAGAGCTGTGATTTTTCACTACAGCCTTCCATGAAACAAGGCGTCTGAAAAGGCCTTTTGCAGTTTGGTATCTTTTATTTTATTTTCTTAAAGCCCAGACCCTGTAATAAAAGCTATACGAGGTATTTCTACCTATGTTCTAGTTGTTAGCAGCTTTCAAAGAACAAGGTGGATTAATTGCCAACTGTGAAAGGGGCTTTTAAAACACTCCCAACTCACCCTGAGTGGGTGTCGAAGTCAGCTCACAGCAGAAAGGCAGGGCTGACAAATTGCCATCAGCTCGAACCTCAGGGTTGGCTTTGGCAGGACGCAGGCTCCTTTGTCCACAGCCCAGACCGGCATCGGTGCTGCCAGGCTCCTCCCTGAGCTGGTCGCCTGCTGGTGGTGGAGAAGACAGCCATCCCAGCCTGGCTCACACAGGACCAGGCTCAGGACAGACAGGCTTGTCGCTAGGCTGCTGTGGTGAGACTGAAGCAAAGGTCTGCTGAGCTGGAACAGGTGCCCCTCGCCACCAGCCTAGAGAGCCAGACTCCCCGAAACTGCTGCGTCAGAGGCCGGCCTTCCGGGCAGGGTCCCATACAGCTGGATGCATGTGTGAGAGGCCCCGTGGATGGGCCCGGGGCCGTGTGTGTTATGCAGGAAAGGGCTGTCACTACCCCCGTGTCCTTTCGGAGCAGCCCGTGTAATACCAATTCTGTCTTTGCCCGCCCTTCCCGTAGGTGTAGGAATGAAGTTAACCGACGTTGGCATAGCAACATTGGCTAAAGGGTGAGTAGAATAAAAAATCGAGTGCATCTGATCCATCAACTCTGGGCTGCCAAATACCTCCTGCGCAGACAGTTCCATCGAGTTGGGCAAAGCAGATTTCTTATCCTGTGTTGACAAATGCCCTTGGGACGAATTCAATTCATTCCTTCACCTACATAAAACATCAATGGAGTTTGTCCTCCCAGGGAAACACAGCTGTGTCCTAACTTTGAAACAAACGAGAACTATGCAAAGGAATGCCCTGCCGGCAATGCCTGCAGGCCTGGGATTTCTTTGAACTATCATGTCTCATTTTCTACATTTAATATCGTCACTATTAGAAGCATAAGTAGAAATATTTCTACCAAGTGCAGTATTCATTTTGCATATTTTTATGTATTTCCCCCCAAGTGTCCTTCAGGCAGCCCCCAGACTCTCCTGGAGATGGCGACCAGAGCAAACGACTCTGGAAGGGCTGTGACTGGTTGCCTGGCTGCTGTCGATGGTTCTGTTTGTCTTTGCATGGAGTGTGCCCAAATGGCACTGCCACAGTGCTCTGGGGTATCTCTGGAGAACTGTGCCTGCTCACTGCCTTGACCATGGCCAAGAAGGCAGGCTCTCTGTGGTTCTTGGTGAAAAGAGAGTTCTAGGTTGGAGCTGCCGTTGCCTTGCTCACAGCTGCCATTCCCAGACACTAAGACCATTTGAAAGGAGGAGGAAATAGAGGGCAAATGACTTTCAGAAGGGATGGCTTCTGTTTTAAAGTGTGTTATTACTGTTCAGGTATGGTCAGGAGACAGTTGCCATTGAAAAGGCAATTATTCACAGCTCCTTTACTCATAGGTCCCCAGGCATTGTGGGGGTAGGCTGGTGGTGGTGGCGGGGGGGACACAGAGGCAAAGCACCAGCCTCAGCCTCAGCCAAGGGGCAGGAGTGAGGGGGAAATGTGGGCAAGACCTCTTGTGATTTCTGTGGGAAGGAATGGAGGAGTGGGCTTACATTGGTCTAGTTTGAACATTTTCAGTGAGCTCTGGGGTGTAGGGGCTGTCCCTAGTTGTCTGGCACCTGCCCTGGGGAGACAGTGGCCCCGCCTGTGAAACCCCAATAGAGGAGGAGGTAGGCTCTGGATTGGTTAGTTTGCATATGAAAGGCATTCTAGAAGGCCAATCATGTACTCTCTCTAGGAATTGGCCAGCCCCAGGGAGGGGCAGTCTCTCCAGGGCCAGTGAGGCTTCAGATATCCAAGCATCAGAAATACAGACAATAAAACCCTATGGCAAATAGAGCTTTCTCTCCTGAGCTGGTAATGACTTATCTGTTTGAGCTCCCTGGCATTTCAGCTAGTGGGTATCAGCAATGCTTTAACAAATAAACTAATTCCCAACCTTAATGAAGGATGGAGAAAAGTAGAGAGATTTTGGGGGAAAGTAGACAGGGCACCACTCTTTCTTTTAACCTCCAGATCAATAAGTGTGAGCCACAGGTTCTCACTGACCACACAGAGGGACTGACTTGGTTTTATATTTTTTAAAATTTTATTTTTAAATACATTTTTATTGATTTTAGAGAGGAAGGGAAAGGGGGAGAGATAAAAACAGCAATGATGATATCTCAACATAACGAGAGCCTTATATGATAAACCTACAGCCAATATCATACTCAATGGGCAAAAACTAAAACCATTTCTCCTAAGAACAAGAACAAGACAGGGATACCCACTTTTACCACTCCTGTTTGACATAGTACTGGAAGTGTTAGCCATAGCAATCAGACAAGAAGAAGAAATAAAACTGTCATTATTCACAGATAACATGATATTATACATAGAAAACCCTAAAGCCTCTACCAAAAAACTACTAGACTTAATAAATGAATTCAGCAATATAGCAGGATACAAAATTAACACCCAGTAATGTATGGCTTTTTTAATATACCAATAATGAACTCACAGAAAGAGAAACTAAAAAAACAATCCAATTTCCCATTGCAACAACAAAAATTAAGATACCTAGGAATAAACTTAACTAAGGAGGTAAAAGACCTGTACTCAGAAAAATACAGGGCTTGGAAAAAGAGATAGTGGTAGACATAAACAAATGGAAGAATATACTGTGTTTGTGGATTGGTAGAATCAACATCATCAAAATCTCCATACTACCCAAAGCAATCCATAGATTCAATGAAATCCTCATTAAAATACCAATGGTATATTTTAAAGACTTAGAACAAACTCTCCAGCAATAAAAAAGAAAAGAAAAAAGAAAAAAAGACTCTGAATAGCCACAGCAATCCTGAGAAAGAAGAACAAAGTTGGAGGAATCACAATACCAGATATCAAGCTATATTATAAAGTCACTGTTCTCAAAACTGCCTGGTATGGGCACAAGAACAGACATATAGACCAATGGAACAGATCAGAGAACTCAGAAATCAACCCAAGACATTATGCTCAATCAATATTTGACAAAGGAGGCAAGAGCATACAATGGAGTCAAGACAGTCTCTTCAATAAATGGTGCTGTGAAATTTGGTCAGATACATGCAAAAAAATAAAAATAAAATTAGATCACTAACTTACACCATATACAAAAACAAACTCCAAAGGGCTAAAGGACTTGAATGTAAGATGGGAAACCATAAAAATTTTAGAATCCATAGGACAGCAAAATATCAGACATATATTGTAGCAATATTTTTACCAATACAGATCCTAGGGCAATGGAGACAAAGGAAAAAATAAACAAATGGGGCTATATCAAAATAAAAAGCTTCTGCATAGCAAAAGAAACCATAAAAAAAACACACAAAAAAACAAGAAAACCCACTGCATGGGAGAACATATTTGCCAATGTTATCTCCGACAAGGGTTTAATCTCCAAAATTTAGAGGGAACTCATACAACTTAATAAAAGGAAGATTAAACAACCCAATCAAAAAATGGCAAAGGACCTAAATAGACACTTTTGAAAGAGGACATACAGAAGGCCAAGAAACATATGAAAACATGCTTAAAGTCACTAATCTTCCGAAAGATGCAAATCAAAACGATAATGAGGAACCACCTCACACCTCTCAGAATGGCTATCATCAATAAACCAACAAATGACAAGTGCTGACAAGGATGTCAAGAAAAAGGAACCCTCGTGCACTACTGGTGGGAATGCAGACTGGTGCAGCCACTGTGGAAGACAGTGTGGTGTTTCCTCAAAAAATTAAAAATGGAACTCCCATTTGACCCACTTCTAGGAATATATCCCAAGAAATCTGAAACCCCAGTCAGAAAGAATATATGCACCCCTATGTTCATAGCAGCACAATTTACAATAGCTAAGATTTGGAAACAGCCTAAGTGCCCTTCAGCAGATGAGTGGATTTAAAAATTGTGGTACATCTACACAATGGAATAGTATGCTGCTATAGAAAAGAAGGAACTCTTACCATTTGTAACAGCATGGATGGATCTGGAGAGCATCATGCTAAGCAAAATAAACCAGTCAGATAAAGATAAATATCGCAGGATCTCACTCATTTGTGGAATATAATGAACAACATAAAATGATTAACAAAAAATGGAGCCAGAGACACTAAAGTATCAAACAGACCATCCAGCCTAAGAGGGAAGGTGGTGGTGGGGGAGAGGAGGGTGGGTATAAGAGATCAACCAAAGGACTTGTATACTTGTATATGAGCATAACCAATGGACACAGACAGTAGGGGGTTGAGGGCATGTGCTGGGGAGTGGAAGCGGCCAGGGAGAGATCAATAGTGGGGGAGGGGGGGAGAGAAGGAGACTTATGCAATACTTTAAACAATAAAGAATTTAAATTAAACAAAGAAACAAGCAATGATGAGAGAGAATCACTGATCGACTGCCTCCTGCAAGCTCCACACTGGGGATTGAACCCAGCACCTGGGCATGTGCCTTGACAGGGAATTGAATTGTGACCTCCTGGTTTATAGGTTGACGCTCAACCACTGAGCCAAGCCGACTAGGCTGATTTGGTTTTAGACCTACGATGTGGTTTGGATATTTTTCTTCTGAAAAACTGCTCAGGATACAATTCTGTGTTGGAACTATCTGTGTCCCCAGAGCAGACCAGTGTCCTACATGTCATGAGCCCAGGCACTTGGACATGGCCCTGGACTCAGGAAGAGAGTATGGCAAGAGGGAGTCTGATAGAGCGAGGGGAGGGAGGTTCTAGAGAGAGACTTGGGTTAAAATGTTGGTCCTGCCACTGGCTTCCAATTCTCAGAGAGGCAGCCTTGCTTGTTGCTGTCTGGCTCATGTGAAGAAAGGGTGGCAGGACACTGTGGTTTGCCTGGGATAGGCCATTGACTGCCTGCTGTCCCAGCACCCCATCCAGTTAGTCATTGGTCCTCATTTAGAAAAGAAGTGATATACTGCACTTACTTGTGAAGAGGTTTCGCTAGAAGGATTTCCAGAGTAAAGCTTTCCTTTACGGATGCCATGCTCTCTGCACAACATTGTGAATCCAGGCATCAACCCGACCGGGTCTGAACGCTGGGTTCTTGTCTCACCTGTATGTGGGCTCATGATTTGAAGCCACCAATCTACAGAGCTGGGACCCAGGGGGCTGTCTCATGGACCCTCCCTCCCACCCCCCACCTTCCCTAGTAACCCACATCTCGTCCCTGATGCTCAATGCATACTTGATCAACATCAGTTTCCCTTCCCTGCCGTGCCTCAGTCTGACACCAGGGCAGTTAAACTTCATACTATTATTTAGAACAACCCTCTCCCAAAACAAAGCAGAAACTTTCCCAAGAAGTTGCAAAAACTAAGAGGAGCTTAAGAGCATGATTAAGACATTTTTAAAAAGTGTCTTAACAGCTTCCGGGAATCCTGATCGCCTTTTTCTCCTAATTTAAAAAGAAATCCAATCCTTTGGTTTTGTTCTCAGCTATAATGTGACTTGTCTGGCCTGGAACAGCTGCCCAAGACCCATTAGGAGAACTGATGGTGGGAGCCCAGTGCAAAATGTTGTCTATAAAGTGTTACCACCTTCCCTCCCAAGGAGTGGGCAGGAGCGGGAGCAGGAGGGAAGGGTGTTCTGAAGAGTCTGAGAGCTTTATTGTTTCCTTTAAACTTTTCCTGTTTATTGTTTCCTTTAATTTTTCCTTTCAAGTCACAGTTTCCCCCAAAAGAAACATATCTTAGAAGCCCAGTTTAAAAAACGGATGAAAGGGGTTCGAACCTCCAATGGTAGTACAGGGGTGGCTGGGGGATCTCCTTGGAAGCCCCTGGGAAGCCCTCTGCTCTGGGATGAAAACCAACAACCAAGTCCAACCTTCTTACCTCCCAAGTGAGGAGCGGGGGGGGGGGGGGGTGGGATGTAGGAGGAGGGGGCAGCCTGGCACAGGCAGGCCCTGCAGGAGGTCAGGTGCCCGAGGAAGAGGGCACATCCTCCACGTTCAGAGGCGAGATTCAATTGGAGAACCTCTCCAGGGGAAGCCAAAGCTGCCAACTGGAGCTCAAACATCGAGAGGAGGCTTGGGAAAGGTTCTCTTCAAAGGCAGCTTATGGACAGGCAGAGAGAGAGAGGGCTGGGGGGAAGCACTCGAGATGGGGGAAGAGAGCAGGAGAGAAGATGGATGACCTGGCATTGATGAAGCACATTCTCTTAATTCTTAGCGAACACCCTCCCGTGCTCTGCGCGCCCACACCGGAAGGGAGACTGCCTGGCAGATGGGTGCAGTCCTGAGAAGCGGTGCTCTGTGGAGGCAGCAGGACATATGGTCTCTTAACTGCATTAGGAAGATCACGAGGCATGGGCGGGAGAAACAATCAGGAGGCAAATCTGGCTTACTTTAATGGTAATAATAGTAATAATGATGATAATAATAATAATAACAATAATAAAAAATATTCTGAGTTACTTAAAAATAAAATATCCTGCCCTCTTTTGGCCAGGAGGGGTCAGGACCTTTTGCAGGAAATAGAGCCATTGGATCATTTAAAGAAAACATCCCCTGGGTCTCAATCTGCACCGCGGCTGCTGACATCCCCATCAATGCCACCCGTCCTGTTCTCTTGTTTAGTGACGTTATATTGAAGGTAAACAGTTATTTATCATCTCATAAAATAAAAACAGGGAACTGTTATGATTTATTCATTGTAATGCCCCTTTACCCGGTAGCCTGATCCTTAAACAGAAGAATGTCATATTTCTCCTGGGAGCCAGCAGTATGAATATGTCTGCAGAAGCATTGCCGGTACCTCGGTACCCAAATCTTTCGGTAATGTTGAGTACAACACGTCAGGTTGCAAAGTTTGACAGATGGGATTGTTCCGACATCTAAGAATCCATTTTCTAGGCAGACCCAACAAGATTTCTGGTCTGAAATTACTCAGCCGCTTAAAGCTCGCTGAAGGGGAGAAGGGAACGTGCCTAATTCTGCCACTGGGGGCTTGGAATTTTAACCGAACCAAACCCAAACCAGCGCAAACCCACTCCTGCAGGGAGCGACCAGCGCCAGTCACAGCTGGTCCTGCCAGCACACGCCCCTCCCCAGCCCGCAGCTATTTCTGGAGAGACGGCGATACTGCGATTCCACCACGAGAGGGCAGGAGAGCCAGCACTTTTGCCCTCGTTAGGCTCCTCCAAAAGGCCATTTCCTGTTGCTGATGGAAGTGAAACAAAGACATGTGCCCTTCTTTCCAGTGAGCACTGGACGAAAAGCCACAAATGACGCCCTGCAGTGAGGCCCCAACCAGCATCGCGCCTGTCTACCTCCCGAAGAGAGAGCTACGAGGTGATGAGGTGGAAGGATGCTGGAAACCAAATTTGGAGAACCTTCGCGGATCCCAAATTGCTTGTCCCCACTGAGGGCCCAACGAGGATATAAACACCAAATATCAAAGCAGACACGTGCTGAGGACAATGGCCTTGAAAAAAACGAGAAAGCAGGCCCTACCCATCTATGTGGCCAGCTCTAGTCCTGCAAGCCATGCAAAGGAGGAAAGATTAAAATAAACTTCCACGTTCAGTCAAGCCCAGGCTTTATCTTACACGCACCTTACATGCGTGCACACATACACAACACACACCCACACACACACACACACACACACACACACATACACCCTGCACGAGGGGTTTATTTCAATTCCACGTCCTTGTAGCCATTCTCTGTAAATTAAAAATTTATTTAGAAAGGATATCAAATGAAAACGTGGATGATGGATAGCTTCTGGCTTGCGTCTCAAAGGGTGATGCAAATGTGGGAATTCTCGGTAGGTTTTCCTGGCATCACCTGGTTTTCTTTAAAACAAGCCCTTTGTGAAGCCAGACAAGAACTGTGATTTCTGGAGCACAACCAGAGCTGGAAGTCCCTGTCCCCCCACCCTGCCCCTCCAGGTGTGTTTGGACACTGAATTGCACGTGATAAGCCTAGAGAGAAGCCAGCCACGCTGCCAACTGGCGGTTTTTGTCTGAGTCTGAGGCTCATCCATTGTCAAGAGGAGAGAAAGAAAGATGGGTGGTTTTTGAGCAAGAAATTGGCCTCGCACAGTTTCAGCCCATGGGGAGTCCAGGCTTACCTCTGGTGCTGTGGGCCTGGGGCCAGACCACTGCCCTCCAGCCGGCTGGTCATCACCTTTCTGCTGGTGGAAGGTCTTGCCTTAATTTGCAAAAAGAGCAACACCTGTGAAGCGCAGTAAGGCGAGGTGTGCCTGGATTGAAGAGATCTGTGTCGCGTGAGGGCAGGGGGAAGGGGGCTGTGGAAATCGCTTCCTGGCTCTCCCCAAAGTGAACGGCACAGTGCGATTTTACGATGTTGCACAGCACATATTTCAAGAAGGAAAGGCATACCTCTGCCCCAGTTTCATTCAGTATAAAGATGTCTCCAGAGCAGACGGGGATGGTCTGAAGTCATTCGCACTGCGGTCTGCTTCCTTCTGCTCCGAGTGGCTTCAGACCTCGTTAGACACGCAGAAGCTCAGACCCTGCCCAGACCTGCCCAGTGCAAACCCGCCTTTAGCGAGAGCCCTCCTCCACCCAACAGAACAGCTACTTAAGAAAAGATTCCACTGGGTGATGTTCAGAGGAATAGATTTATTGTTCCACTTTGGAGGGAGGACATGTAGATTAACATCAGGTAAAGGGCTAGAAAATTATGCTGAGCTGAGGTTAAGGACAAAAAGATCCAGTTAGTAAAATCTCACAGAGCTAGCGTTTCTAAAAAAATGGAAATGTGAGGAAAAGTTCTCAAGTGCAAGGTTGTTTGTTCCATTGCATTAGATCCTCAGGGCTGCCATAGCAAATGCTGGGGGTTTAAAACAACAGAAATATATCACCTGACCATTCTGGAGGTCAGAAGTCCAAAATCGAGGCGTCGGCCAGGTGTGAGCAGGGAGGTTGTGAGGGAGACTGTGCTCCACGCCTTCTCCCAGCTTCTGGGCGTTGCTGCCACTCCCGGGTATCCTTGGCTTGTAGACGCATCGCCCCAATCGCTGCCTCCTTTGTCACAAGACCTTCTGCCCAGGTGTCTATCTCTCTTTCTCTTCTCACATAGCCATCAGCAGTGTGGGGTTAAGAACCTGCTCCACTCCAGAATGATCTCATCTTAATTACACCTGCAATGACACTATCCTATATGATAAAAACATAGTTTGCATCTTGTCCCCTTGACTGGGAGTTGTTCCAGGATTTCGACTAGGGTGTGGGGCCACCAGAGGAAGGGAGAGAGGCCCCAGCCAGCAGCCAGCAGCTGCTAGGGACCCTACTAGTGCACGATTTTTATGCCCTGGGCCTCTAATTTCCAAATAAAGCCACATTCTGAGGTTCTGGGAAGGACATGCCCTTTGGAGAGAACACTATTCAACCCGTTATGTCCATCCAACAAGAACAAAATGGCGAGTGTCCTCAGTGGGGACCATGCTGGAGAGCTGTCACGATACTTCACACCTGTGGTCTCCTCCAATCCTGAGGGTGACTGGTGGGCCACAGGCAGGAACGTATATCCCACTCAGTGTTACACCAGAGCTGGGTGTAAGGAAACTCTGGATTATTTGATCTAGAAACACAAAGGATGCCCCCGTGAGTTTGAGAGGGCAGAGGTCAAAACAGAAGCCAGGCTGAGGTGGGGACCAAACTGAGGAAGGAGAAAGACTTTTAATTCTGTAGATTCTGACAAACACACACCTGAGATAGAGAGATGAGGGCAGTCCAATATTGCATGCGATTCCAGGTTGAGAGTCCAAAATCAGATCAAGAAAAAGAATTGAGAAATGCGGGCTGGAGACCCCTGGGCCAAAGGGTGGGAGCTCTGAGGCTGGGGCTGGTAGCCATGCATTTGTTCCTGGGCCCTCCCTGAAAAGCCTGCCCTGGACAGGCACTCGGGGCATGAAGCAGTGCTGGGGAGAGTAGTCTATGCGTGCAGGGGAGGGGGAGAGCCATGTTGCCTTGGAGAGGGTCAGGACGGCCCATGGAAACTCACTTGAGTTTAAGAAGACAACTCGCGTTTATCACAGGCCTTGGCCAACGGCCCTTTGCCTTTACCTAATCCCACAGGACTGGGCTTCCCTAGCAATAGTTGTGTCAACCATTTGGCCATTCTCGCCTAAAGTAGGAATAGATATATTTCCATGCACCATTAGTTTCTTTTTTAAAGATTCTTTTAAAACCGGTGAAGTGCCAGTTTTCAAAAATTATGTTTCCTCCCACCCACACTCACAGGTACAAAGGATTTAAAGGCAACTGCCCCATGACCTTCATCGATCAGTTCAAAGCGCTGCACCAGTGTAACAAGTACTGTAAGATGCTGGGGCTGAAATCGCTCCAAAACAACAACCAGAGACAGAAGAAGCCCAGCGCCACGAAGGGCAAGAGCCCGTCAAACTCTACTACGGCGAAGAAGACGGCGTCCGGGACCCCGGCAGACAAGAAGACCTAGCATCGCGTCGGGACTAAAGCCGCGCCCGGGCGCTGGGTGGACACCTCGAAGCACCCGGGAGAGGGCACGGCGCCCGCAGAGGGGTCTGGGCCACCCTCGCTCCCAGCTGCTCCTACAGCTGGCACCTGCTGTCTTCTTTGATCTGAGTTTGGAGCCGGGTTTGTGACCAGACTTACGGAAACCGAACCTATTAAGGATGGTCCACCTTTGTACATACCTGTAGCATTTTTACCAACCTTGGTTTGTGTATGTGCCCGTGGTTGTATTGTCCGGGACTTGGTGCTGAGCAGGGTCTGTCCACAGCCCGAATCCTCGCCACTCCCATTCCTGACCTCAAGATTTCTAGACACTCCCAGCTGCTATTGAAACAGAAAGCGTGACCGCCTCTGTCAGGCCAAGTTGTCACACTCGTGTCGCATTGTGCTGTTCTGGCTGGAGGTGGCTTTTTGAGACAGGAGGCCATTTCCCAGCACTATTCACACATCCAGTTATATTGTTGTTTCATTAAATTCATATTTAAACAAAAAGTGTGAGATGCGTATATGAGCGCAGAAACTTGATCTATAGCATTAGCACCCGATCCCACATTCCCCCGGGATTAGTAATTTAGTGATTTGCTAAGACATTTACTGAAGCACCGAGCATTTGCATCGGTGTTTTTTTGTTTTGTTTTGTTTTGTTTTTGATGAATCACAGTCCATAGTTTACATAGTTTACATACCAACGGTCTTATAGATGTACGTAGCAGTGGAATTCTAGAAAGTTCCACACTAGCGAAAAGGTGCAGGGCACATTTTGATTAGAATTAGTATATATATATCTATATATCTATATATATATATATATATATATATAGTTGTTCAAATGGAAAATAATACAATAATTAATAAATAATAACATAAGAATAAACTGTGTTTCGTGTATTCACAACTGCAAACCTGCTGTTGCCCCACCCTATAGATACACATGCTAGGTGTGTTGGTTAATAATAGTGGATTTTATAATTGGTGGTCAGTGTGTATCATAGCGACCAGTCTGCCATAAGGCCAAAACTAGCTCTCTGACATCCCCCAAGGGGTCCCAGATTGCAAGAGGGCACAGGCCAGGCTAAGGGACACCACTGGTGCACGATGAGGGCCAGGAAGGGACATGGGAGGTTGGCCAGTCAGGGAGGGACCACGGGAAGGCTCCAAGGTGTGTCTGGCCTATCTGGCTCAGTTCTGATGGGCCACACCCCAGCAGCAAGCTAACCTACCGGTTGGAGCATCTGCCCCATGGTGGTCAGTGCATGTCATAGTGCCCCCTGGAGGTCATTGCACGTCATAGCGAGCGGTTGAGTTGGCCTTAGCATATCATTAGCATATTACGCTTTGATTGGTTGAATGGCAGACCAGATGACTGGGCACTTAGCATAATAGGCTTTTATTATATAGGATATTTGACATAGAGCCCTCTCAACAGACCACGGTATTTTCCTTAGTAATAATTTGCAGCTATAAAAATAATATTGACAAAAATGATTACAACTTTAGAAAATCATAGAAGGGTACAGAATGAAGAGTTAAAGCCACCCTGTAACACTCCCCCTCTAACTGGTGTGCGTTTGTCCTGAGAGACAGTTGAAGGGGAGGAGTTTGACGCTGATCTTGTGATTTGCAGTCAGCTCATGGGCGCCTCTCTTAGATGAGCTGTCCCTCCCTCCTTTTATAGATGCTTAGATTTTTTTCCTAAATGCCCTTATTGTTTGTCGTAATCTGATTTTATCTGTTTAAAAACATTCGAAGGACCAGACACAAAAGGCCACTGGCATGGGATGGGGCCCAGCCATGGCTCCTCAGGATGGCCTTTGTAGGTTTGTGTGGTCATCTGTCCGGCCGCCTGAACCTTGACCTCTGTTCTGAGATGAATTGCTGTTTTCCTTGCAGCCAATTAACGATGAGTGTGTGGTGAGCTCTCTCACCCCAGAGGTGGTCTGCTGGGGTCTCAGGAATGCCCGCACTCATCGCCGTTGTTTGAGCTCACGTCCACTTTCTATTGCCTTTCCCACTGGTCTGGTAAGTCTGCAGTGTCTGGAGTCTATAAACACAATGCCTGCTCCACCCAGGCTCCCCGGGGAGGATGGCCTGCAGAGGTGGGGGGAGGGGAGGAAGGCGTCTAGCTGGGGATTTTGTACCTGATGCCTGCAGGGTGGTCATATATAGTACATACGTGTCTCCATTTCCTGAAGGGCTCCACAGTGGAGCTCTGTGATGGGCAGGGGATAACAATCAACGAACGGCTCATTAAAAAGAGCCTATGTTGTCAACAGCAGCTTTATCGCTAATGAGAACGGCAGCGGCATGCTGACTTCTAGCCAGTGGGCATCCAGCTCTGGTGAGGTCCAGTTCTGGATGCGGGGATGGCTGGCTTATGCTAACATTTCATGTGGCCTTATTGTACCAGCGCCTCCCGGCCCTGCTTCTGACAAGCCTCATAGTAGCTAAGTGTGGCGATAGATTCTTAATCAAAAGAATGTCCAAAGAAGTAACAATTCTAATTATAAAGTGTTCTGTTTCCTAAATATATATATATATATATATATATATATATATATGTATGTATAGGAGGGCATGTGTTCAACTGGCTGCAGAGGGGAGGAGCTTGTCATACCTGCTCTGGCTGTTGTCTCGTGTGTGTGTGTTCTGTGCGGCGGGACCACCTATGCGGAAGCAAACAGCCTGGCATTCCCCTCCCCCCCCCCCCCATTTCACTCTTCAGAGGCCACTTGGGCTTAAACAGTTCAAAAAAGAAATCGAAGAGACACCAAACCTCATATATGGGGTGCTCCAGCAGCTCCGAGGCCCTCTGAGAGCTGGCTTGTTCTAAAACGTGTGAAAAGGTTGAAAGGCAAGATGATGCCAATTTCCTGTGTAGTCACATGAGCACAGGCTTCAACTTTCTGATGCAACAAACAAATATTTACAGGCTCTAATTACCATGTAATGTACATTTTACTCTTTCAATTTGTCTGTCTCCTCCACATCAGAATATTCGTTCCCTGAAGGCAGCATTTTCTGGTTTATGCGCTGCTGTATCCCAATACCTAGAAGATGCCTGCACGTACACTGAGTGGCCAGACTGTTGTGATCACTGAAGGAATGGCAGCACCCGGCGGAGGTAGGACCGCCTCTGGCAGTCGTGGGAGTGGCTGTTCGTTTGCCCTGGATCGTTGAGGCCTTGGTACCACTGGGACCTCCAGGCAGTCTTCTGCTTAGTCATCATGTATGTCTGTACTTACACATCTGGAAGGTCGATATGGTCTTTACTATTGTCTTCACATCTGTGTCCCAGGAAACCAGTAAATCAAACAAACCCCTCACCGCCCAGCCTGAGGGTTTAAATGAGATGTGGTCCTGCACCCATAAATCACCCTCCCCCTCTTCCTCCCAGTGACAGGCTGGACACAAGGGAGGGAAACCACTCCCTCCCCTTTAAAAGACAAAGAAGGCATTTTCTCCGTAGTATTGTTCTGATCCCCTCAGTTTTTACTTTTCATAGTGTATTTTTTTCCAGAAACTTATTTTTTTGGCTCTCTCCTTCTTATCTGTCAGGTCTCTACTCAAGTCACTGAGACCCTCCCGAATCTGCCCACCCATTCGCTCCTGACCTCGGCTAAAGGCCTTGCTGAAGGTCAGGGAGCTGCAGAAATGCCATGCGGGACCCTGCCCCTTCCCCAGGCTCCGAGCTCATCAGCAGCCTCACTCTCCTCTTCCCTCCTCCCTGGATGGGAAAACCATGCCCTGCTTCACCTTTGATTCTGAAAAGCCCTTTTGGGAGAAAGAACAAAACACTGTACTTTGTTTTGTGCTCCTTCCCCCTTTCTTACTACAACACCACTCTGCCTCCCCACTACCAGAAGAGTCCATTTGGAGAAAATGCACGCTCTGTCCATCCTCCCTACCCAGTATCCACTCCCCTTCCTCAGAAACAGCCAACTTCGCTCATGAAGGGATTTTTAAAGTTCTCGGGTGATTCCAATGTGCAGCTCAGGCTGGGAGTGGGAAGGTGCCTAGTTAAAAGGCTGCATTTCCCAGACTCCCTTGCAGCCCAGGTAGACCTAAGTGACAGCGCTGACCAATGAGATGGAAGCTGACTCTCCAGGTGGAGCTTCCAGGTGTGTTCCTTAAAGGGGATGCACGAGAGATCAACCACCCTAAATTGCTGACAACCCAGTCCTTGCTTTTTTACCACCCATTTTTTAAATTTTTTATTTTATTTTATTATTTTATTATTTTTTTACAGTCTGAGCACTTGTGTGCTTTATTTATTAACTATTTTTAAAATATATTTTATTGATTTTTTTACAGAGAGGAAGAGAAAGGGATAGACTGTTAGAAACATCGATGAGAGAGATTCATCGATAAGCTGCCAAGGTACATGCCTCTGACCAGAATCGAACCTGGGACCTTTCAGTCTGCAGGCAGACGCTCTATCCACTGAGCCAAACTGTTTCCGGCCATTTTTTTATTTTATTTTATTATTAAAGGAGAGGAAAATAAAATGTTATTTTGTCTTAAACACTTATAACTTGTCATATAATTTTATATAAGTTGTTCCTTAAAAACAAAACTCTCAAAGAAAGGCATTCATAATGGAGCATTTTGCAGTGCCTTTGTTTACAGCATGGTGCTCAGATTTGGCTGCACATGAAGAGTGAACCTACTGTGTTTTTAAAATGTCGATGCCCAGGTCCCCCTCTGAGATTCTATGTAATCGGCCTGGGGCATGGCCTGGTGAAGGGTTTTTAATGCTCTCAGATGATGCTAATGTGCAGCTGAGGCTCTGAGTCATCGGCTGATCGATTCTCTCTGTGGCTCTTTCATCAAACACTAATGAGCAGCGCCATGGACCAGGCCTGCAGCCCAGTGGTCCATCAGCAGTCCCCGGAGGGCTTGTTACAGCACAGGGTGTCCCCACCCCCAGACGCAGCTTTAATGAGTCTGGAGTGGGCAGAGGATTTG